GAGCTCTTTATAAACTGCTTGAGACATCAGCATCCTGAATACTCTTGTTATCTACCAATGATTGTATAATGAGAAAAGTATGGGCTATTAAAAGCAAACACTGAAATCCTTGCTTTCTAGTTTGAAAGCACTTTCTTTGGTCTTACATTTTCCTGTTCTGATCTGTAATAGGATTGTAGACATATTTTACAACTATTAACTGGATAAAGGACTTCGACAAAATCTCTTTTGGTTATGTATAATCTGTACAGGTTTGCGGATAAAGGACTTCGACAAAATCTCTTTTGAATGGTTATGTATAATCTGTACAGGCTTGTCACTATTTAATTGTTGTAATCTCCATCCTAAAATGCTGGCAAGGCAAACACCTTTGCTGGTGCTTTTTGTCTTTCAACCATTGTAGAACACTGGTTTTATACCATATTTCCCAAATCAGCGATTGCACTGAGAGATCTGTAGAATCCTAAATCGTTTTGTTAAAAACTGGTATTTTCTGATACTTTTGTAATATCTGTATGGGTTTTTTGAAAAATATATGTGAGACCATTTCTTAAACAGTAAAGATAGTATATAGCAGTGATGGCGAACCTTTCAGAGACCAAGTGCCCAAACTGTGACCCAAAACCCACTTATTTATTGCAAAGTGCCTGCATGGCAATTTAACCTGAATACTGAGGTTTTACTTTAGAAAAAACAACTCATACATTAATTTAAGATGATCCAAACAAAGTAAGGAAAGCAGAGAATGCGACACTTTAACGATGGTCTTGGCCTGGCTGGGGCGATGGCACGTGCACCCACAGAGAGGGCTCTGAGTGCCACCTCTGGCACCCGTGCCATAGGTTCGCCACGACTGGTATATAGTATATTTTGCAGTTTCTCTTTGCACTCTCTCCAATCAGCCAGATTAAATCTGCAATTTGCAGCACTCGGTGTCAAACTTGATGCCTGTGCCAGTGATTGCCCAATGGCTGGAAGGCCTATGATGCAGATTCATAAATGTTAGGAAAGTCTCTGCCATGTGATTTAATTGTTAAAATAGCTGAGAGAACTGGGATCTTTGGCAAGGGAATTTCCATATTTCAGGGTTTTGAATTTGTATTTTAATTGTATTTTTGCTGTTTTCTTGGCCGCTTGGGGGTGGGGGCTGCTTATCATGAAAGCTTTGCAAAGGTGCAGATTAGGAGATGGTTGAGTCTAGATGCTAATCTTTATGTGACCACGTTGCCAATCACCTCTCTAATTGGTATTGTTCATCTGAATGCAGCTACTGTCAGTGTTGTCAACTGAGATGGTTAAGCTTGCATACAAATGCATATGCAACTAGTTGAGATGAAAGGCCCTACTTAAATTTCTTAAGAAATTATCTGCTTGTACAAAGCTCTTCACCTGACTACTAATAATTATCTATAAGTAGACTGAGTTAAAAGTATTAATTTTGGAACTCTGAATTTTGCATAGGACTATAGTGTGTGCTTTTACATGTGAATGCCTCATAAATATTTCCCAAGAGCAATTTATTTTTCTAATTCACTTAAACAGTCTCTGTGTTACGTAGGGCTTCAAGTGGTTTTGAATACATCTATTCAAACACACAGCTGTTGTGAAAAACTTTACTTAGGTTACTGTCATTCTCTGTAGAATATTCGGAATGCTTGATAACCGGCAGTCTTAACTGTGTTGAATAAAATGCATCCTGAAGTGGATTGAAACAGTCCCTGCACTTTATCCTAACGTAACAAACGTTTTGATTGCCAAACCTCAAAAATCCCGGTCTCTAAGGTGCTACGGGACTCAAATCTGGCTGTTCTACTGCAGTGTTCCCTCTAAGCTGAGTTAGTGTGAGCTAGCTCACAGTTTTTTAGCCTTCTGCTCACACATTTTTGTCTTAGCTCAGGAAGGATGGCCCCAGAGCAGACTAATTTATGCAGCAGCCAGATCACTCACAACTTTAATGCCAGTGGCTCACAAAGTAGAATTTTTGCTCACAGGACTCCACAGCTTAGAGGGAGCATTGCTGCAGCTCAAGATGGCTACCCTCTGAAATTATTTTACACTTGGTCTCTCCCTCTCTCTAGTATCAAGCACACTATTACACACAGAGCCCCAAGTGGCTGTTAACAATCTGAGCTGCGGTGGCTCAAGTGGTTAAGATGCTGAACTACAGGCTGTGGAAGGTCAGTAGTTCAGCAGTTCGAGACCCGGGTGCCGCAAGACGGAGTGAGCTCCCGTCTCTAGTTCCAGCTCCTGCCAACCTAGCAGTTCGAAAGCAAGAAATTGCAAGTAGATAAATAGGTACTACTTTGGTGGGAAGGTAACAGCATTCCGTGCACCTTGGTGTTTAGTCATGCCAGCCACATGACCACGGAAATGTCTTCGGACAGCGCTGGCTCTTCGGCTTTGAAACGGAGATGAGCACCGCAACCCTAGAGTCGGACTCGACTGGCTTTCGAGCAAGGGAACCCTACCTTTTTATACTTGTATGAGTTTATGGACTTGTAAGTGAAAGAAAATCTCAGATGTGTATATATGAAGGCTTCCATGCGCACATTAAAAAACTTGGATTTTGTTTAGTTTGTTTTATTTATACCCCATCCACCCACACACCGTGGAGATCCAAATTCATTTAAACCATTGTTCTCCCCTCTCCTATTTTATCCTCACAACTACTTTGTGAGATTAGACTGTGAGGGAGTGACTGGCCCAAGGTCACCCGACAAGCTTCTGTGAGAGATTTGGGATTGGAACCTGGTTCTCCATCCTAGTCCGACACTATAATAATTCCACCACACTCACTCTGGGTATGTTCCAGTCAAACTGAAGCAGTTTTAAACCCCATTGTTATACACTTTTAAAACGCAGGTATTATTTTCTTAACTGGGACAAAAAATTGAAGATTTTAAATTCTTAGGTCTTCGATTTTAGCTTGCAAGACTTCCTAAAATTATGGCATATACCTGATGATTTTTTGGAGTTTGGGCAAATAAGGAAAAAAAGAATCCAGCTGATCAGTACCCATAAGGCCACTGGGGCCAGGAGACTTGAAGGAGCATTTGTTCCCATATTGTCCAGCCTCCCAGTTAACATCTTCCTCACTGGCTTTTATCTCTGTGAAGAAGAAGAAGAAGAAGAAGAGATTGGATTTATACCCCGCCCTTCACTTGGAGTCTCAGAGCGGCTTACAAACTCCTTTCCCTTCCCCTCCCCACAACAGACACCCTGTGAGGTGGGTGGGGCTGAGAGATCTCTGACAGAAACTGCTCTTTTTCAAGGACAGCTGTGCCAGAGCTTGTGACTGACCCAAGGTCACATCAGCAGGTGCAAGTGGAGGAGTGGGGAATCGAACCCGGGTCTCCCAGATTAGAGTCCGCACACATAACCACTGCACCAAACTGCCCTTGACTGCAGCGGTGAGGTGAGTGGCAGCGAGAGCTGGGGTATTTTCAGTGGTGGCGACTCATCATTAGAAGTGCCCTCCCCCTTGAGGACTGCCTGGAACCATCCCTACTCTTTTAAGGACCAGATCAATAAATTTATCTGTATTGAATTAATTTGTATTGAATCAACATTCTCTAAAATGTCCTATTGTTGGCAGACATTCTCAGGTCTTGCAAATTGAAGGCTGCTGTGGCTTCTTTTATTGAATCAATCCCATCTCATGTTGGTTCTTCAATTTCTCCTGCTGCCTTCAATGTTTATTTCAACATTTATTTTTGCCTACACTTTTAACTAAGGAGTTGATTTTTAAAAATTGTTTTTTGTGCCCTGCTATAGCCCTAGCTGCAGTGGCTCAAGTGGTTAAGACGCTGAACTGCAGGCTGTGGAAGGTCAGTAGTTCAGCAGTTCGAGACCCGAGTGCTGCATGATGGAGTGAGCCCCCTTCTCTAGTTCCAGCTCCTGCCAACCTAGCAGTTCGAAAGCAAGAAATTGCAAGTAGATAAATAGGTACCACTTCGGTGGGAAGGTAACAGCGTTCCGTGCGCCTTGGTGTTTAGTCATGCCGGCCACATGACCACGGAAACGTCTTCGGACAGCGCTGACTCTTCGGCTTTGAAACGGAGATGAGCACCGCAACCCTAGAGTAGGATTCGACTGGCTTTCTAGCAAGGGAACCTTTACCTTTATAGCCCTAGTGTTATTTTCCTTTGTGTGCTCTTGCTTGTTTTTTAATGGCTGTATGGTTTTATTATATTGTCCTAGTTGTGAGCTGCCCCAAACAGGTCTCTGAAGAGGCAGCATAGACACTTCCTAAATAAATATTCCAATTGCTTTTCTGGCTCATTTCATACATCCGCTGAAGCAGTTGTGCCTTGAATAATTGCTCTTAAAGGCGCCACTGGACTCAAATTTTGTTCTGCTGCTTCAGACCAACATGGCTACCCACCTGAACCAGGCTCTTGCTTGTTTTTTAATGGCTGTATGGTTTTATTATATTGTCCTAGTTGTGAGCTGCCCCAAACAGGTCTCTGAAGAGGCAGTATAGACACTTCCTAAATAAATATTCCAATTGCTTTTCTGGCTCATTTCATACATCCGCTGAAGCAGTCTTGTGCCTTGAATAATTGGTCTTAAAGGCGCCACTGGACTCAAATTTTGTTCTGCTGCTTCAGACCAACATGGCTACCCACCTGAACCAGTCTTTCGCCTGTGAGTTGTCACACTAGTTAGTGAGGTAAAGGTGAACTGTACAAATAGGCCCGCATGCCTCACAGTGTCAGGTACAACACTAAATGCTAGAAATAGTACGTTCCCTGCCTCTTCTGAAATTAATTCACGATGCAAGTCCTGCGCGCCAGCACTTAATCAAAAGCAATATAATTTGGTCTGACATCAGGTTGATTTTGTGCCCAGAATATCATCAGTAGAGGTGATTGCCTGAAAAACATTTTTTTTTAAAGAAATAACTTGTTCACAAAGAATTAGCAAAAAAGATTACAAGACAACTTTTTGCAAGCTTATTTTATTAAAGCATTTGTGTCCCATGCTTCCATCCTGTATAGGAACCCTAGGGTGGTGCTTACAACAAAAGCTAAAAGCAGCAACAATAGAACTGGCAAAGAAAAACAACACAAGCAGCAGCAGCAGCATAAAAAGTAAGTAGTCTTTTCCTCATAGCATTTTGATTCTCCTTGCACCATCTAAGATATGGTAATCTAAAATAATCTAAAATTACTAAAGTCTTAGTGAATTATAGCTGTCATGATGAAACATATAGAGAAGAATGCTCCTAAATATATAAGGCTATGTTAGTGGCTAACTCAGTAGAACACCATCTTCATTTGTGTAAGTAGTTCTGTCTAGTTCTTATTAAGACAAGCCCTCTACATTTCAAGGTAGCCTCCAAGAATTGATTTGGCTGGAACTTCTTGAATGGCGTTTAAGAACTGCAACATGCTACTTAAGAGACAGTGTCAGAGCTATAGCAGCAACCATTATTTATCTACTTTATTTATATCTCACCTTTCTCCCCAGTGGGGACCCAAAGTGTTTTACATTGTTCTCCTCTCCTCTGTTTTATTTGTTCAAAACACCCCTGTGAGGTAGGTTAGGCTGAAAATGTGTGAGTGGCCCAAAGTCACCCAGCAAACTTCCAGAGTTGGGGATTCTAATCTCAGTTTCCCATATCCTAGTCTGACACTTATGTATACACTTATTATAAAGATAAGTATGGTTTTATGAAGTTAGTCAGTAGAAATAACACGTTTTATATTGTTTAGAAATACTAGTAACCCTGGAACAGACGGTCGCCCAGCTTAACAAACAAATAAATCAGTATGCAGAGTGCTCGATACTGGCCCAGACTGGAAATATCACTGTCCTGTTCTTTAAAGAGGCTTTCGTGAGAGGTACACTTCCAATAGAATTAACATCAAGCAACTGTAGTCATTAGGCCTCCATATCTGATGGATCAACATTGTTGCTGCTGTGTTCCTAATGAGTGATTTTTGCATTAATAATGCATTGGGTAATTGGCTTAGTTGTGAAGGTCTCTTGTTGCATGAAAAATAGCTTTCGCTAAGCATTTTCCAGTACAAGATCCTTGGCAGCAAGGGAGCAGACTCTCTTGGAGCAAATATGCTGCAGCATCTCGTTGCAGGATCAGCAACAAATTATTAGGAAAAGGTGCAGGTCTGTGGAGAACATATATTACAGAACTGTCGTTTTACGGCAATGCCCCTTGTTTTAGAATAAGTTCCTTAAAAGATAGCCATTGTTTAGAATAATAAAGGTAACGGTTCCCTTGCTCGAAA